GTATTGGTAGTCCCTATTTACTAGATGCTTCATGAATTTTGTGTTAGTTTCAACTAAGTACACTTACGACTGTTAACTGTTTTAACGTCTATAAAGGGAAGTTGCAACGCTGGGGGCTTATAAAAATCAAACATGTTCTGAAGAAATAGCAGCAGAAATTGTAGTACACACGATCAGTTTGGCTTTGTTTGTAATTAAGCACAAAGCTACACAATGGGCTTTCTGGGCTCTGCCCACCACGGATATCGAAACCCGAATTCTAGCATTGCAAGTCCGCAGACATTCCGCTGTGCCACTGCGGGGCAGAAAATAACACTTCTAATTAGACACGTGCAACGTGTAGCACGTTAACAAAAGTACTGATAAAACATTGTTGAACTTATTACGTAAACATTATTAAAATAAGCAGAAATATAAAAAAGGTAATTAGAACAACTAAAACTGGATTCAGAAAAATAAACACAGGAAAATTATAAACGTAAACTCGCCAAATAATAAAATGATAATTTAATAATCCAAAGAAATAATTAGAGGATGGAGAAGACTTTCGCAAAGGTAAGGTTAAAGAGGGAGAGTTAGGGTAAGGTAAAACGCATCTAGAGAAAAGTTGTGGGATGAAAAGATAGGTTGATAGAGTTTAGTAATTATCTAAAAGTAACTCTTTCGTTTAAACCACAAGGGAACTTAGTGTTAAAGTTGCAAGATAAAACGGTGTTCAAAGCTTTCTCGTTTTAATTTGTTGAGTAGCGCATTTCTCGTGACTGAGATTAACATGTCGATGTTTTGTTTTTGTTTTTGCTAGCCTAATGGTTTTATCTAGCCTAATTCCATTGTAACACGGTCTATTTTGCTTGAGAAAGAGCGTCTGCTCGAAACATCGCATTAATAAACTAAAGAAGTTTTCATTTAGACGTGTCAAATTATTCTTTATTTTCATTTATCCAAGTTTTTCTTATCACGTCTTGAGGAATAACACTCATTCAAGACTCCAAATGAACAGCCGCGTGAGTTGAAATATTGATCACGTTATTTAAAACAAATACACTTGAATCAGTGTAACACGAGGTTCGGCTGTGGTTAAAAAAAATTCATTAACGTGGGGTTCCCAACTCATTTAAAAATGCATTTTCTCTTGCTTGTGAAGAACATGATATGATACTTAAAGCTTGGAGGCGTTTGTACGGATTCCGCTATCATTTCTTTCCATTACTTAAACAGTTGTTTTTTACACCTTGTTAAATATGCAGTAATAGAAACATGTATGGAATCACATAGACAATACATGTAGATCAGTCACAAACAGCAAGCAATTGCAACGAGATGGTTAATCTATTAATGATACAAAACATTCTCACACAAAAAAAGCGAAAGAGTTGTACATTCAACTGGTATTTTCTATGTCACCTCTTTGCTTTACCAGAGTATTACACCTTGTTTTCATGCTGCCATACAGTTTATAAATAAATGATCAGGAAAAATTACTCACCACAATTCAGTCAAGTTGTTTGGTCGTCTCAGTTTTTACATAAGCCCATACAGCCTTGAGAATGTTCATATCGCTTTTTGTTCAGGCCATGCTACGATTGTGAGTATTCCATTGACATCTTTATTGTAAAGATATTGTTTCAACACATTTGCTGTCTGCTTAGAATCACTCTCTTGCTGGAAGATGAATTGTTATTATTGTGGGAATTGCATGATAGATTTGGATTTGCCTGTACATGTCATGAGTCAGGGTGCCATCAATTTTGTGTAGGTTACCGACATTACTAGCTACAATATAACCCTAAACATATACTGATTCTTACCATTCTTCAATGTCGATGACTAATTTAGATTCAAATACAAATTTAGATTCATCTGATAAGAACTGTTCATATCACTATTTATGGTCTAATGTGCATTTCAACCTTTTGGTTTGATTACCTCTCTTCAACAGTAGTTTTTAAACATTGGGATCACTTTGTGCTGATGTATATATCATTGTTTTATAGTAACATACACACACTATATTTACAGCAAGGACGTTGGAAATGTTTGTATTTGACTGTTAATTATCTCCCAGAGACCACACCCTTAGATATTTAAAATCACTTTTGGAGTGTTTTGGTTCTTATAACTCAACCAATTATAGTATTAATAATGCCAATTACACGTACATTCTTCACCCTTGCATACGCTCATACCCAAACATGGATTTTTGCAGCAATGTATGCATCACATTGAGTATCCTTGACAGCCAAAACTCTGATTTCTATCTACGACAAAGGGTACTTCAATTCTTGAAGCCATGATTGAAATCACTTTATTGCTACTAGTGAGCGTAGCATGGCTGGCTCTAGGTTTATTGTCTTTATTCTGGTATTAAAAATTTTGATTGATTGGATGACAACCAATTACAGTAATAAAATTATTAGCATGAGACTGTACTATGGTGAAGTCTATTTTCCCCCAATAAAGGGGTGGCATTTCTGGTAATACTTCTCATACTCTTTTAGCTCAACCACTTCCAGTACTGTATGTGTATATATATATATATAGAGAGAGAGAGAGAGAGACAGAGAGGTCTAGTATTATCAGTTACATTAATGTCAATAGGCGATTAAATCAGCACTATAAAATAATAATGAACTTTATATAAAACAAACATTACAACAGAACTAAAATTAAAGAATTATTTTCCATTATCAGTCCTAGTTGTCAACATTAAGTCATAACGGATAATATCCATGATCATAGCACCCAAATGAGTTGGAGACATTGCATCTATCAAACAAAATCCAAACGCTGATGTTAAACTAGCCTGCAGCTATTGAAAATCAGTTAAGGTTCAGAAGTTGAGTGCTTACACCCCCAACGTCTCAACTCTTTTCGCTGTCTGCAGCCAGTTGTGGGAAGGTAATTTCCCTTAATACTCGTACATAACCTTAAAGTAAAAATACCCCTCCCCCCCTAAATATTCTACATGGTAAAACTCCCAACCTCCACCCTTTTATTTACAAAATGACGATAAACAAAGCTAAACACCCTACCTTAATATTACTTAAACTCCAAACCTTCTCCCTTTTGCTTAAAGATTTGTTCATGTGTAACCTAGGCGAGCTGACACAAGCCCAGCTACCTGAAGTTAGTCTTTCCGACCTGGTATACCGAACAAAGGTGAAAAACAAAAGTTTTAAAGTTAGTTATTTATAAACCAAGGCCGATCTTGAATAACTAATGACCTCTAAGTTTTCCACAATCTAGAATTTACTTTCTAAAATAATTTCATATTTATTATAAAAAGTGTACAGAATTTATTTATGTGCCAGACCTTAGAACCATTAACTTTCAATTTATTTATGAATAATTTAACATTAGCCATAAAAAAGTTATTATTTTTGGAAACTGTTAAAAATATTGAGATATAGTAATACCTTATATTTTTAACAGCATAAGTTTGTTTGTTTGTTTGCAATGAAGTACAAAGCTACACAATGGGCTATCTGTGCTCTGCCCACCACGGGTATCGAAACCCGGTTTCTAGCGTTGTGAGTCCGCAGACATACCGCTGTGCCACTGGGGGGCTAAACAGTGTAAACGGAATAACACTATTAGATGGTGGGTAAACCAAGGATGGGGAATTCAAATTTCCTTCTTTTATCAAAAATAATAAACTATACTTTAACTTCTACAAAATTAATATTCAAGTCTAAGTAATGAGCATGACTACTCTTACTATTGCTTCTTTTGATTACAAGCTCGGAATAAAACTGGAGTTGTTGATGGAGATTAAGTCATTTTTGTAACGAAACGTATGAGTGAATAAATCGCGGTTTAATATCTGTTTCAAAAATGAGTTTTGATAGAAGAAGTGATACAGATTGGCCATGTTGAAGAGAATTAGCACCTAGCGGAATACCCATTGTTTGCTTATATACTTGTTCTTTAAAAGTAATATAACTGTTATAAATACAGAAATTAAGTATGTTTTCATATTGCTGATTACTAAATTTAAATTTTCGAATAATTACTTCTGTATCTACATAATTATCAAATAAATCATTAAATATCCTGATTAAATGTTTCAAATATATTTTAGCATATAATATGGTGCAATCATAAGTGGTAACAGAGTTGGCTGTTTTTAAAGAATTTAAGTTAGTTACACATTCCAAAACTAGAATGTTATTCTTGAGTTGGGAGTTTTACCTTGTAGGATTTTTAGGATGGTTTTAGGTTCTACTTTAGGGATATGACTGAGCAGTAAGGGTAACTGCCTTCCCACAACTGGCTGCAGACAGCGAAAGCCAGTAGGAATCGAGACGTTGTGGGTGGTAAGCACTCAACTCCTGACCATTAACTGATTTTCAATAGCTACTAGCTAGTTTAACATCAACGTCTGATTTGTTTTGAATTTCGCGCAAAGCTACACGAGGGCTATCTGCGCTAGCCGTCCCTAAGTTAGTCAGTGTAAGACCAGAGGGAAGACAGCTAGTCATCACCACCCACCGCCAACTCTTGGGCTGCTCTTTTAACAACGAATAGTGGGATTCACCGTCACATTATATCGCCCCCACGGATCAAATCTCGAGGGGAAAAAAGTATGTCCAAATTAAAAACAATCATTTCTTCAATTTAAACCAATCCAGTAACCAGATCCATAAAGATGATTTTTAATATGTGTAGCTAATCTACCAAATATGCTTATTTGAAAATTTCTAGCTATGCAACAACGCATCTTCTCGATCAAGGTGATCCATTAAAAATCCATGAGTTAATTATGTTAAGAATTAGTAAATTTTAACGGTTAAAATGTGACACTCTTGGCTAATTTTCCGAAGACAATATTACTAAATTAGAAAACCCTCAATCAAAAAAGGGGGAGTTTCTACAAGTTGAAATAAAAGCCGTAGTGTCTATTCACGTAAGTCGCGTGCGGCTCTACGCTATCATCATTATGACTTCACCAGATTGATAATCAATATATCAAATCTCCTGGAAGAAAAGGAGTTATCGCATATACGAAGCCCTCGTGGTATTTCAATCCTGTCTGAAGTTTAACAGTACAGTGGACTTTAGTATTGATCTGCTGATGATCATACTGAATGTAGCGGTTCTCTGGTCTGCAAATAGAGCATGCTGAGAATTGGCGCTCTTTCTCAAGAACGACGTCACTACGTTTGTCAGTGTTACGAAAAATTGCGTTCCCGACTTTGTTCTCAGAAACTTAAAAAAAATGTTAATATTTAGCACCTTTCCTGGAGGATAGTGTTCACGGTTTGTAAAATTAAAATAACTGTTCTAGCTAATAAATCAGGCTGGTACAATATTTCCGTGGTTTCTGGAAGTTGGCTAAGGTTAGTGGGCTTGTTTCTCGAAACTCATTTATTATAGAAATAATCAATAGCTCTCGATTTAAAAAAAAAAGAAACGTATATAAGATCAAAATTTTGGTTATTGGAGTCTTTGAATAAAAAATATTGGTGTAACAGACCTCTCGAAGTGGAAAAGAAAGACTGTCATTTGCTCCAAAAAATCTCGATCAAATTTCAATGTTAACCTAGTAACTTTTTTTTTTTTTGTATGTCAAAAATTTGGTCTGTTGTTGTTAAGCGCAAAGCTACACAATGGACTATCTGTGCTGTGTCTACCACACGTATCGAAACACGTATTTTGGCGCCGTAAGCTTAAAGACTTACCACCAAGCCACTGGGGGGGAGGAGTCTATTAGAATGACCAATGGGCAAATTGAACTACTTATCTGTACCTTTATTTTCCAATTTAACAATACCTCCAAGTACTGTATTGTCATTACATGTAGAAAAACATTTTGGTTCATTTTATGATTTATATGCTTTTGTATTTTTAGTCTGAAAGTATGTTCAATTTCAACACTTCGAAAGTATTATTCAAAACCACATGGTCTTAACGCAACTAAAGCTTCTTGAATGTTGTTCATCATCGTAAGTAACATGATATATTTAAAAATAAATTTGCTTATAGTGCACGTTCAACGTTTCGGGTCCAAAATATTACTTTCTAAGATAGCGTGTAAAAATTGTTTTTAGGCCAGTAATATTTATAAAACATTTCCATTGGTAATTTTTGATATGGTCAATATGCAAGTTGGCGTAACCACTAGATAGGGAACAACACATATGCAAAAAAAAGCAAGAAAGAAACAAGTGAACAGATAAAGTCTATCATACATTTTGATTCTTTTGTCCAATTGGTTCATGCCACATGTTAACTTCATCAATTAATGAAGATTATTAACCACATTACCATCTATACACCATAAAAGAATAATCTTCCATTCTTTTTGCAGTCAGCACATGATCACCTATGTCACAAGCCACTATGCCTAAAGAGAATGGCTGTGCTGTTTGTCTTCTTAGAACAAATACCAAGATGAGAAGATCTTTCTCTAGACCTTTATCTTCTGCATAAAAATAAACTGATAACAATGTAATGTACAATAAATGATACCAGCAGTATTTTTCACCATAAAGGATCAGTTACACACGATGATCCAGAATTATAATTTTTGTAAATCATCGTATTATTTTTCCTTTTGAAGTAAAGTGTTACCAAAGTCACATAAATGGAAATTACTTTCTACACACTACAACTGCCCGAATCTCACTGAAGGATCACATGTTTCAACAGTACTAATGTCAATGACTTATTGGAAAACTCTCAAACAACAATACAGATATTAGTAATATTAGACTGAAGGATCACACGTTTCAACAGTACTAATGTCAATGACTTATTGGAAACTCTCAAACAACAATACAGATATTAGTAATATTAGACTGAAGGATCACACACGTTTCAACAGTACTAATGTCAATGACTTGTTGGAAAACTCTCAAACAACAATACAGATATTAGTAATATTAGACTGAAGGATCACACACGTTTCAACAGTACTAATGTCAATGACTTATTGAAAAACTCTCAAACAACAATACAGATATTAGTAATATTAGACTGAAGGATCACACACGTTTCAACAGTACTAATGTCAATGACTTATTGAAAAACTCTCAAACAACAATACAGATATTAGTAATATTAGACTTTGATCAGCCACACAAACATACAGATGAGGAGTATTTCAATCTTACAAGATGGCAAAAAAATCTCAGTTTGATGACTTCAGGTTTTAATCTTTAAGCATCATTCATGTGAGGTCATGCTTTCTAGCTGTATTTATTAATTAAGCTTCATACCTCTGATGAAGGTTGAAAATGTGTATAAAATGAAGGTGTTCAAACACTTTTTTTGGGACCATTCTGAAAAAAATAAATAAACAAACTTCAATAGATGTTCACAATAAGACTATAATAATTCCACTATGCAAGTACTGCAGGTGTAATGGCATATGAATTTGCAGTATACTATTTATACAAAAGCCACACTAACATTCTTTTTTGCCACCTGGCACTCAAGACACTGCATTCTTAGTGTACAGTTCCAAGATGCAAAGCATCCATCACATTTTTCCAACACAATGATTAGTATTATACTTCACACCTCTAAACTATTTATCTAAAACATGTTGTTTTGTGTTATTATTTTAGACTGTAAACATGGAAACGACATCACAACCACACCAAGGGAATGGACTTGGAGCTTTAGTCTTTTTTTACGGAACGATCAAAAGCAACGAACCTAATCATCACTGGCTCAGAAATGTTGAAAATGGGCATGCCAGATTTTTAGGGAAAGCCAGAACAGCCACAGAGTGGCCCCTGGTGGTGGCCACTAAATACAACATACCCCATCTATTAGATTGTAAGGGAACAGGAAAGGTAGTTGCTTCTTGTCTAACTTTTCTATTTAAGCCTTTTTGGTTAAAATAATACTGACAGTATCTGTACAAAACACACAATACACTGTGTGTAAAAAAAGCACTTTATGTGTCTATGATAAGTTTTCAAGAAACCAATTAATAACTACTATTTTGTTGTCCTCTTAACTTATTATCAAACTTAATTCACTCTATATTAGCACCAATCAACTGTATAGTTTATTTTTAATTTGTGCTTCCAGATATTTCTTATTGTTAAGTTACTGGTGGTTACATACATGATGTGACTGTTAATTAATGAAACTTAAGAATTCACTTAATCTAATATCCAACTATCCTGTTATATGAGAACAAAGTACAGTGCAAATTGAAGACTAATTACAACGGTTTCTGATTATCATACTCTCCAAGAACTTGTTGGTCCTTTAAAGGACTCTACGTATCCACGTAAGCAGCATATAGTAGTAAAAAGATTAAATGTCTAATTAACTAGTGTATAATTAGAACTATATAAATTCTGAAATATAGTTAAGTAGGTGTTGCATTAGTAAAAATTTATGCATCTTTCATTTCAGTTTATTGCAGGAGAACTGTATGAAATTAATGACATTTTACTAAAGAAACTAGATGAGATAGAGGGCCATCCAATTTTCTATGAGAGACGTCTAGAACAGGTCGAAATGACAGACTGTAAGATCAGTAACAACCTTGGTGATAATGACTCGACTATCAGAACAGCCTGGATTTACATTTTCAAGAATTACACTGCAGAAATGTTACAGTTTCCATTGCTGGAGGAATACAGTTCTAAAGATTTTAAAACAATGGGAAATAAAGTAGAACTACTCAATAGTAAAATTGTAAAATATTCAGATCTCTTACTTGAGTAGGTATTGATCTTAGAAATCAAGAATAATCTAAATAACCTAACCTATTCAACATCAGTTTCAGTTTTGTTCAAGTATTTTTAGTATTATTCATTACCAGCAGTCTTCTCTGCTCTAATGGATTAGAAAAAATTAAGTATTGTGGGTTTTTCACATATACAAATCAATATCATGATTTCTGATTTTAAAACCATGGAAAATAGCTTAGAACCACTCAATAGTAAACTTGTCAAATATGCAGATCTCTTACTTGATTATATATATTGATCTTAGAAACCAGTGAATCAAGAATATTCTAAATGAAGTAACCTATTCAACATCAGTTTTCTTAATGAGTATTTTTTGGAATTATTCATCACCAGCAATCTTTTGTGCTCTAATGGATTTAAAAAAAAAGAAAGTATTTTTGGGTTTTTCATATTATTTCAGATTAATATCATGATGATTTCTGTTATCTGAACTTTTTAAAGTAAACTTAAGACCAAAACTAGCCTCTTGTGTTAAAGCTATTTATGTTAAGGCTTGGGAGTAATAAAGTATAGTTTTAATTTATATAATTAGTATGAAAAATATCTGTCAATACCATCAGAAGAACAACTGTTGTGAGTTTGCTTTAAAAACAAACCTTATTAAATAACAGTACACTTAGTATTATCATACTGAATTTAAAACTATGTAGGAAGATGTTAAGGACATGGATAACTATATCACCTATTGTGTAAAATTATCTACTATAAAGTTCCTTTGATTATTTTTTATTTCTTTTGCTTATAATAATGAATTAAATATTTATATAAATCATATTTTTAAAGTGCTGGTTTTAATTTGTAATTCTGAAAGGAAATACTTTAATCAACTATATATATATATTATTGGAAGTAAATTAACTTAGTAACAAAAAAGAAAAAGGTCAGGTCTATGCCAGATATCGATCTTCAACCTGACATTAAAGTTATTTTGCCAGGCATCAACCAAAGACATGAAGTCTGTGCCAAATATCACGAATGAAAAGTTATTTTATGAAGTATCAATCTGAGACATGGAACCTGTGTTAAACAGATATTTGCAGAATATCAACTTCACATCAATCAAGTTATTTTGGCAGAACCAACCTGAAACAACAGGCTTAGCTATGTGTCAACATGACAAGAATAAGAAGTTACTTTGACAGGACCAACCTGAAACAATAGGCTTAGGTTAAGTGTCAACATGACAAGAAGATAATGTGGCAGGAATAACCTGAGAATTTGTTAGATTTAAACTTTTCATAATTTAGACACAGAAAGTAAATTATAATCAGCCTCTAAAGGAATGCATTAGTATGTAATTAGCTGTCACATTTCAGTCTGTCTCTGTTTACTCTTATATGGTTAAGTTTGGAAGAGTGGTACTCCTGTACAAGTAAGAGTTTTATAAATAATTTGTTTTTTGTGTGCAAGTTACTTTTAAAACTAGTGGATGGCACATGGAAAAATTAAGAACACTTTTCAGTTATGTTACGATTTTATGTTCAAGCTTTATGTTACACATACCCTCTTATTACATGACAAATTAACAATTTATATGAAGTCTTTCATATATTGTGGGGAATAGATAATGCTACAAGATGAACATATTTTTGTTTGAGATATCCATCATATAAATATAATTACTACCTAGTTTAGGTGGCATTAGACCTACTGATGTAAGATTATGAAACATGGGATTATTGTGCATTAAAAAATTATGCATCAAACCAGTCACTTTTCTAATTAAATAGATAAAAAAAAGGCACAGCAAACCATGCATTTTGTCAATACTACCTAACTAATTCTTGTTCCACAAACACAGAAAACGAACAAAATATTTATAAAACACTAAACATTAACCTTAGTAAAAATTATAAATGTAGAATTACATCTGGTTTAGTAAAATTTCTCTTTCAAACCATAAAATATACAGCACTTAGATATGGTTTCCTCATGCTTAGTATACAATAAAATTAGTAATAGGAGTTTAACTGTTCAAAAGTTTGTTGACCAATATGTGCCTTGAGTTTTTAAATATAATTTTTGCTTTGCACACATCATAAATGATATCCCTTAAAAAAAGTTATATTTCTTTTGGTGAATTTTATGAATTACCCTCTCACCAAGAATAAGAAACATAAATTTTTATACTTTAAGAACCAGTAAAAAACAAAATATCCACTATTAAAAGTTAATTTTTCAATGATGTTTTATTAGACAGGGAAAGAATCTCAAAAAGTTTATAATAGACTATGATAGCTTAAAACAGTGGTCGGCAACCTATGACCCGCGGCAATAATTTGGCTGACCCGCCAAAAGTTGGCTTCACCATTGCAACCCGTAAGGGGACAATCATTGTTCAGTTCAAATTTCTTGGCTATGTGAGAAGAACAACGATATTAAAGGAAAGATGGGAAAGAGTCATGGTTACGGAGAATTTTAAGATCAATTTCAGGGAAAAATATCAAACTGGTCGAACTATTAATTTTTTTGTATATAAATAAACATACACATTTAAAATACATGTACCGGTATTAATAATTATATGATTATCACTGACCCAACACAATGCTAAATTTTTCTAAAAAAATATAATTGACCCGCGATCAAAAAAGGTTGCTGACCACTGGCTTAAAACAAAACATGTTTCTATAACTTCATATTTAAATAAGAGCAGGGCAAATGACAAAACCTTCTCAGTTTTAAAGTATTATTATTATCAGAAACAACTTTATTAAAGGATTTAACTCCATGTTTCGATTTACTACAAAGGAAAAGTTTAACAAGTTCTTTACAGTTGTAAAGAAATATTTCATAATTGTGGTCACTGTACTTTAATTCTTTGAATCATGAAGTTGGGTAAAATACAACTTCATGTTAAAATAAATACAATTCTCACACATACAATTCAGATGACTGCTGCTAAAGCAACACTGTACAGTTGAACCGTTAACCATTTCCATTTTCTTATTATTAACATAACTGGAAGTTAGAAATTGTTCCAACTGTATAATAGGTTCTTTCCCTCCAATGACAGCTATTGCTTTATGTACATTAACTTCATAATTATTGTATAGAAATTTTCAAGAAAAATATTTCTTATATTTCAAAAACTTACAGTGGATTAGGAAATAAAGAAACACTATTACAGAATCACCTACAGGTGAATACATCAAGAAAGGTTAAGTATCTACTTTGATCATCTCATGTTAGCAGGTATAGTATTTCTATTCATAATTAGTGGGGATAAAAAAAGACTTTACATATGGAAAAGCTATACATGTAACAGCACCCAAGAATGCCTGGCACTGGAATGTTATAACACATTATATGCAACATCCAGGACAAACTGATAAATGTTAAAAATATACATGGAATAACAGGAAATTATAGCAGAAAATAACAGTGAATTCAAGCATTATTATGGGAAATTACTTTTTTTTTACTTATTTAACATTTATTCATTTACTTATTTGTCCTAAAAATGTCACTCCTAACAAAATGGTTGGTGGAAATCAACCAGATTACTTGCTAATCCTAACTTGTTGATTTATTATCACTTGTAACAGCAAAAGTTGATGGTTACCCACTAAATCACTTGCTAATTCTAAGATTGTTAATTTGTTATTACTTGTAACATCATGATTGATGGTTACCCACAAGAGCACTAACTAATCCTGACATTGTTGATTTGTTATTACATGTAACAACATAGTTGACAGTTACCCATAAGATCATTTGCTAATCTTAACAGTATTATTATTTGTAACAGCATAGTTGATGGTTATCACTAAATCACTTGCTCATCCTAACAGTGCTTTCACTTGTAACAGCACAGTTGATGGTTACCCACTAGATCACTTGTTAATCCTAACATTGTAGATTTGTTATCACTTGTAACAGCACAGTTGACGGTTACATACTAGATCACTTGTTAATCCTAACATTGTAGATTTGTTATCACTTGTAACATGGTTGATGGTTACCCATAAGATCACTTTCTAATCCTAAGGGTGTTAATTTGTTATTACTTGCAACAGCATAGTTGATGGTTACCCACAAAATCACTTACCAATCCTAAGAGTGTTAAGTTGCTATTACTTGTAACAATATAGTTCATTGTAATCAACTAAGACACTTGCTATTCCTAACAGTTTTGATGTTCTCTTGAAAAAGCATAGTTGATGGTTATTACTAAATCACCTGCTAATCTTAACATTATTGATTTGTAATCACCTTAGTGTATAGTTGATGGAAACCAACTAAATCATTTGCTAATCCTAACATTATTGATTTGTAATCACTTTAGTATATAGTTGATGGTAATCAATTAGATCAGTTACTAATCCTAACATTATTGATTTGTAATCACTTTAGTATATAGTTGATGGTAATCAACTAGATCAGTTACTAATCCTAACATTATTGATTTGTAATTACTTTAGTATATAGTTGATGGTAATCAACTTCATCAGTTACTAATCCTAACATTATTGATTTGTAATCACTTTAGTATATAGTTGATACCAACTTAATCAGTTACTAATCCTAATAGTTTTAACTTTTTTTTTTTCTCTCTCACTTATGACAATATAGTTGATAAGTTACTAATCATTTGCTAAACCTGATAATATTGATTAAATTATTATTTGTAACTGCATGGTTGTGGGTACTCTATGAAATCACTTTCTTTTCCACAGTGAGTTAACTCATACCGCTCTATAAAAACACTTTTAAAAGATAACACTATTCTAAATCCTTCAACATTTTGTTGAGCCCTAGAAAATAAAATACATTTTACATATTTTACAGAAAATTGGAGGATTTCTTTTATTTGATGTGTGCCAATCAATGAATTAAACTTGCACTGCTTCATTTCTTTCACCATTTATTTTGCAATAATAAATATCTGTAATCAGATATTCCAATGAAAAATATACATTTGACAACCTCTGCACCCAAAAATGATACAAATTTTTAAGGATAGAAAAATCACCAGTTTTAAAAATCACATTCACTCCTATTATACTTTGTTTTATTTAAAAATTTCATCAACATGATAGCATTTTTGTTTTAAGGTTACCTTAGCATTTCAATTTTAGAAACATAATTAATCAATGTGTTGAGCAATAAATTGCCTAAACCAAACCTGGTAACTTGCTTTGAACAAAATACTGAAGGTAAAATATCAGGTTCAATAGAGCGTGTAGTTTTATTTTATTTTTACTTTTAACAGATATTGGTAAGTAGTAGTAATAAATAAAAAAGCAGGCATTTACTAGTAGTAGGGCATCAGCACTTTATGAAACAATCTTGGAATTATCTTTAAGAAGAAACTGGGAGACTAAGTTACTGCCAATGTTCAGTTACTTTAAGGATGATACAACAGTCAAGTTTCAGTCTTTATAACTTTACAGGATTTCTACTTATTATGCATTGATTATTCCACATCCAACCTCTCTAAATCTTCATCCAATTCTTGGAGATCTTCATCATCTTCATCAAATAGGTTTTCATCAATTGGAACGGCTTCTCCATCTACTGTAGCAGTGAGATGATCTTCTCCACCTGCTGCTTCAGGGAGCTTTTCCTCCTCTCCTAAAAATATATTTAATAAAACAATTAATCATAATGAACACAATGTTAGTATGAAATACCAATAACAGCAATGATACAAACAATTACTATTATATTATCTATATGATGTTTACTCAACACAACCTGTCTTGATTTTTCTCAATACATTTTGAAACATTGACAAGGACAAACAGAGCAAATATATGTTTTACACGTATCAATACATTTATCATTTTTAATAGCTATAAGCTCCATTTTGGCTTTTAGTATCTATAATAAAATTTGTAAAACTATTTTTCAGAGACAGACCTTTCTTTTAACATTTTCAACATAGGGATTTTTCTACAAATTAAATATTTGTGATTTCATTCAATAATTGTAAACATCTTTTTCTTTTAATTAATGAGTATTAATTACAAAATAATTATCATTACAGTTGATAATAATGGTTTTTTAATAATATATTCTTACTTTAACAGATACTTTATATTATGTTTTAACACCTTCATATTATAACATATACTTTGTTAAATTTTAGCAACAAATTTCCTACTTCACCAGACACTTGAATTAAATTTAAAGCACAACTCCCTACTATAACAGTAACTTTCCAGTAAGCTTTAGTTACAACTTTCTTACTGTAATAGATACTTGATACTGAGTACAACTTCCTACCATATAGGTTTACTTTTCTTCTGTTCACTTCATGAAGATTACTTAGCAATGTTAATCCTGCATTTTCAAGTTGTTGTACTTGCAGGCTAAAAGCCTCAGCTGTTAGTTCCACACATGAATCACAGTTCTGCAACCATGAAGCAAGTTTTTATAAGTTACAATACCCTCACATTTTATGATAAAGACATCTTATATAGATATGTGTTTGACACATTAAACAAAACTTAAAAGTAACACTAATAAACTTATAATGATATATTTTAAATATGTTAATTCTGTAATAATATTTCTTAATAAGGCTAGCACTAGTGGGAGGGGCTAAAATGTTGTTTCCCCAACCTGAAAGCAAATAATTCTCCATTAACTCTTTCAGCATGGGCTTGGGACTGATCTCATAACCATTTTGCACTTGTTATAGTTTTCATGCTATAACTTTTAAATCAGTAAGCTTATGTTCACAAAATTTGGCAGTAATCAGTAAACATTACAAGGCTTTCATATGCAAAATATCAGATTTTTTTAATAAGTCTTAAGGTTTGTTAAGTAATGTTTTTCTGATGCCTTTTTTCTTTTTGCATGTTGCCTATCCAGCATGCAAAGTGATTTTTATTTTAAGATTAAAAATACTTTTATGCGGTAGAAAATTTTGAAATTTCACATGCAAAATTTTTATAATGTCCAGATAGTTATCAACTGTTTCTTGAGAAAAAACTTTATATTTTATCTGTTATTTTCTTTAACAAATCTCTGTATGGGTTTGGTAATTTGACTGATCTTGTAACCATCATAAAAAATTAGGAAATAAATAAAAATTATGCCTTTTTCGTTCTACAATAAACAAATTAAGAACATGAAAACACAAATGTTTAGACTAAATAGCTTAAATCTCGTAACATTATATGCTTATATATATTTATTACTTTTATTATATTGACCTTTCAGCTGTGCCTAGCTAACAATACAGGAGTTACAATGACAAAGTGCACATGCACTCATGTTACCATAACCAATAATATAAAACTGATCTTTAGTCTTTACAAAGTGACCTGTCTTGGTTGTGCTTTAGTGGACTAGTATTTTGTAAAATATAGTCACATTTCAATTATTATACATCATATATATATATATATATGTATATACATTATTATTATTTACATACAAGTTCATAAACTTATTTTTCTTAGAACATAGAACAGTAAATAAAGAAGTAAAGCAAACAATTATCTCTTCAAGTTACGACCTTCGTACTCATTTGCTGCTTGTCTTAGTTTGCTAAGTC